TCACTTATGTAACATCACTTACATCAATTACATTTTGTGCGGCAACGTAATTAGGTTTTATATAATTAAATGAGAATTCTATTAATTATATCATTGATACGTACGCATCGACAATTAGAAATAATAATTATTAGAAAGGAAGGAAGAGAAAAATGAAAAGGAAGAAAACAAAAACAAAAAAAGAGAGAGAGAGAGAAAAGAAAAAGAAGAAAAAATAAAAAATATCGAAAGATATCGAATCGAATAGCTATAGAATTTAAAAGTAATCATCAAAGCAAAATCGAATTGAAATAATATCAAAAAATAATATCTTATTAGAAACTAACGCGTTACATTTTGTGAATCACTATAAAATCCTAATACAGTATGACTCAAAAGTTTTTCGTTGCAATTAAAAATCAATTAATAGTTCTTGAGACACTTTAACGAGTGAAAATTTCAATTATTTCTTTGAATCTAGTAAAATAAATTCTATCCTAAATATGAATTGATTAGAACGTATTTACAATCGATCGTAGTTATTTATGTATTAGAATCAAATAGAAACTTAGGAACTTTCAATTGATCCTGTACCACAACTATCAATAGCGAGTAACAGTAACAATCTTTCGAAACCCTTTAACTACTTTCTCCGTTAACTCGTAACGAACTAACATTCACGAACAACACGTTTAATATATACTCGGGTTTGTGTACAGTGCCGTGAATACATGCGCAAATTAAAATTAGAAAATTGTTTGACACTTGCAAACGACATTATTTATATTATTAATCTAATAAATGGTTATTAAAGTTTCGATTTATATCTAAGAAATTTATTCGCTCAATTAAAAACTTTTGATTGAACTTTTTGTATCATATCATTGTTTACTATTAAAAAATAAATAACAATGAATCCCATTAATGATTTTCTTCTTTAATTTCGAACGAATTAATATTCACGAACGTACGTTATTAATATCTACAATACGTACATCCCTTATTATACAACTACTAAGAAGATTTACGAAAATTAGAATTAAAACGTATTTATATTATGTTATCAAAATTATTTATACAGCTATCTAATAGAAACTTAAGAACTTTCGATTCATCTAGGAACTTTTCATTGATATAGGAACTTTTGATTCATCCTGTAACACCAGCAACAACAACATCATCCTTTTCAAGACTTTACTTTCAAGATTTTACTTTCTCCTTCAATTTGAAACGAACACGTGTAATACTTGAAACACGTATTATAATATCATAGAACAACGATTATTAAAATTAGAATATATTTATACTTGTTTATTGAAATTATTTATATTACGATCTAATAAAAGATTAAGAATTTTTGATAGATTTAAAAACTTTTAATTCAAGCTGTACCATCAGCCAATATCATCGTCGTCATAATCAACAGTAGCAGCACTTAGGAAGAGTATCCTTTAATTACTTTCTTCCTTCAGCATAAAACGAATTAACGTTAATAAACAAATGTAAAATGGCTTGACTTGTTCTAATATCAAAGAAGAATACAAAAATTAGAATAAGAAAATAATATTTATACTCGTATATATTACGATTTAATATAAATCTCCGATATTATTCGACAAATTTAAAAATTAATAATAAATAAATCTAAAGATTAGAAAAAAATCTAAAAACTTTTATTTTAATGTATTAAAAATTTAATATAAATCTTAAGAATTTTTGACAAATCTAAAAGCTTTCGATTTATTCTATACCACTGGTAACAAAAACATTAACAAAAGCAATATCAGCAACAGTACCAATAGCAGTACCAGCAGTATTAGCAACGAAGCAATATCCAGCAAGCAGTACCCAGCAAGCAGTACCCAGCAAGCAGTACCCAGCAGCAATACCCTTTCGAAGCCCTTTAGTTACTTTCTTCCTTTAACTTCGAACGAACTAACGTTTGGTAACACGTGTAAAATACTTGGTGTGTGCAGCTGCAGAGAGCTGCGAAAAGAAATGTCTCGGTTGTCGAACGCAGCAACGGCACGCGAGACACCGACTATAAATCACAACGAAATCCCGTTCCTTTCGATCCAAGGCGGCCTTCTTTACGAGATGAAGTAAGGAAAAGGAAGGAAGGAAAGAAAAAGAAAAAGAAAAAGAAAAAGGAAGGAAGGTACGAAGGTATGAAGGTACGAACGAACGAACGAACGAATGAACGTAGAAAAGAAGGAAGGAAAGAAGAGAGGAAGGAGAGACGGTGGATGGAAGGGCGGTTAAGAGGAAGGAAAGCCGTCGCTTGCTTTTCAGAAGGGTCCAAGAAGGGCCCCAGGGAGGTGTCGCATGAGCTACGAAAGAGCAATTCGTCATCGTTCCTACAACCTTTTTCCTGGCTCGATGCTTCCAACCAGCATCGAAGATACCGACCAAACCACCCCTCTCATCCTCTCGCCCTCCATCACTCTCACTCTCTCTCATACACTCTCTCTCCCTCTCTCTCTCTCGTTCTCTCTCTCTTTCATCCTCTTCTTCCTCTTACTTCTTTTTCTTCTCACTATTCCGTCCATCTTCTTTGACGTTGAAGCGATCGAATAGACTCGCGGTTTAAATCTTCCAATATATTACATCTCCAACGTATTCTTTAACTTTTTCTGTCATTTTTCATTAAAAACTTATTCGAAAATCAAACGAAAATTAACGCGCCAATCCTTTTTCCGCATATATAAACGAACTTTTCTAAGTGTTCGTAATAATTTGTATAAAAAAAAGAGGAAAAATTAAATATTAAAAATTAAATTATTATTACAACTATACTTTCCTTCTTCTTCTTCTTCTTCTTATTATTATTATTATTATTATAATCATAGATATGTATGTACGTATATAAAAAAAAAAATCTAATAAATTAATAAATAAACTCTTTTATTCTAAATAAACAATTATTATTATTATTATTATTATTATCATTATTATTATAAATTATTGTATGAATCATAATTTAAAAAATTCATACCACTTTCGTTTCTATTGTATGAATCGTAACAAAAGAAAATATTATATAATTTCGATTTGACCATTCGTAACATTATAATTGAATTATTGTACGAGTTGTAACAAAAAAGATTCTTTTTCTTTTTTCATTTTTCTTTTTTTTTTTTTTGTTGCAATCTCCAAGTCGATCTCAATACTCAGTTATTTTTTCTTTTTTCAATCTTCATTTTTTCTTTCTTTATATATATATATATATATATATATATATATATATATATATATATATGAATTTCGTGTCACCAGCAAAGGATCGTCCCTTGCTAGAAAGGAAATCCGGAGTTTATGACTCTCTCTCTCTCTCTCTCTTCTCTCTTTCTCTCTCTCTCTCTCTCTCTCTCTCTTTCTCTCTTTCTTTTTCTCTTTTTCTCTTTCTCTGTGGTTGATGCGAGAGAATCCGCACGCGGTTAAAGTCCGTCCATCAGTATGAATCGTAGGGAAAGAGAGAGAGAGAGAGAGAGAGAGAGAGAGAGAGGCGCAATGAAAAAGCTTAGAACCGGATTTTAAATGTTTGTGCTCGCCTATACAAATATCTCTTATTTTCAAATACATTTCGAAAAAAAAATATTTACTCTCTCTCTCTCTCTCTCTCTCTCTCTCAATCTATCTATCTGTCTATCTCTATCTCTATCTATTTATCTATCTATCCATCTATCTATCTCTATCTACACATCTCTACATCTCTCTTTTCCTAGCGCGCTCGCGCGTTTTCTTTCATTTGCGGTTAACCGCAAATAAACGATAATAACATATATATATATATGTGTGTGTGTGTATATAATCAAATAATATATATGTTATAATATATATTTATATATATATATATTATAATATATATATTATATTGTTATATGATATATATATATATATATATATATATATATAAATATTTATATTTTCTCTTAACAGAATGAAATTTTATTCGCTATTACACATATAATCATAGATATGTATGTACGTATATGAAAAAAATTAAAAAAAAATTAAAAAAAAACCTAGTAAGCTAATAAATAAATCCTTTTTTTTTTTATTATATAAATAAACAATTACTTCACTTATACGTAAATTACTGTTATGGACTTTTGGAAAATTATAAAAGTGTGTGAAAATTTGTAACGAATATCTTTCTTAACGTTTCTATCGTATCAACTTTTGATTACTTCCCTCGGGAATGAAAATTATGATCTAACGTAAAGAAGTATTCTGAAAGAGGATACCGTACGAGTAATACGATATTCACGGTTAATTAAATATTCATTACGTGAAAATTTTATCGTTTGAACGATTTATATATAGGTAAAGTATTGTATTTCATCTCTTGATTCAATGAAACACATATACCTATATTAATATCTATAAAAAGATAATTAAATTATTATTTCCTTCTATTACAATTTACGATAATTCCTACATCGTTTAAAATATATATATATATATATATATGTATGCAAATTTAAACATCACGTGTTGTTATAGTATATATTATTATGTAATATTACGTCATAATATATTAATAATAAATTATATAACATTAGTAATAATTAATAGGAGATTAATCGCATAATATACTAGGCAATGTAAAAATCGTTTTCGTGTAATACATAATAATAATAATAATAATAATAATAATAATAATAATAATAATAATAATAATAATAATAATGATAATGATAATATGACAAATTATTATTATAAAATAAAATATAATTGCGTTGGTATTTTCTTGAATGAAAAAAAGAAGAAAGAAAAAGAAAAAAAGAAAAAGAAAAAAAATAACTACCATAAATCTATGTTGAAAAAAGACAATGAAAAAAAAAAAAAAAGAAAAGGAAATTAAAGTAAACGTATAATACGTTGCGAGCTCACTCCATAAAGGGTAAAACAAATAATAAATTCAATTCGGGTACACTTGCGTACTCTTTGTCGAAACATTTTGAGAGAATAATCGTCGCAAAGCTTGGACAATGGCCCTCATAATTATTCCAACTTACCTAGAAGTACACACTTGGGTACAGGATGATCCCAACCGTTCGCTGTGCAAGTGGCTACCTTGTGTCCTTTTAGTCTACGCCCTATCTCACAGGAATATACGGTCTGTAAAGTACCATCTTCGAGGACTCTCTCTCTTACCGCACCCCATTGCGGTGGTTGTACCAAAGGACAATTTCCTAACACATCTGAAAATAATCGAGAGAAAAAGATTACGTAATATCTGTAGAATATACATTAATTCTTAATTAATTCAATTAATAAAAAAATTCAATTACGCATCTATGTATATATTATATATATATATTTTTTTTTTCAACAATTCAATAATTTTAATAAACTTTTTACTTCATCATTTGTAATTTCATCATAAGAGTAAGTTACATTAAAAAAAGAAACAAAAAGAAACAAAATCTAAAAATAAAGAAATAGTTTTTGTATAATATAAAAATAAAATTAAATATATATATATATATATATATGTATATATGTATATATGTATGTATATATGTATGTATATATGTGTATGTATAATCTTATGACATAAATAAATGAGACGAATATTTATAAAAGTTTATGAAACTTTTCGTCATTTATATAATTTCAATATAAAATCGAGAATGTCACATCTTTTAATCGGATTAAATAAAAAAGAAAATCAAAAACAAATGAAAATTTGACGTAGAGATATCCTATAACATAAATAAATAATTTTATATTTTAATAATTGATTAAACATCGTCATTTACAATATTATCTAATTATACACGACATTTAATTGCATCATGAAATCAATTAATCAGGTCAATAGAAATGAGATAAGTAAAAAATTTTGTTTAATAAGAAAAATTGATCTGTACATATATGTTTAATTTATAAGTATTTAATTTTTGAATTAAATTATATTCGACAATTTATTATAAACTTTTTACTGAATAATTTCTTTATAAGTTTCTTTATAAGGTCACGTTTGAACAAACGGAAAAGAAAGAAAAGAAATAATAAAAGTTCGAGCGAGAAAAGAAACGATTAAAAAGAAGATAAAGGATCAAGCAACGTGTTCGACACCGCGAGGGGTCCTGCTCGCACGTGGGATGGACGCGGTCAGATTAAAATTTAATAATCCTGCGGTAACATAATATTCCCCACCCGCTGTGGCAACCACTATCACCAAAAGCAGTACCACCACCATCATCACCACCACCATCGTGATCGGCTGACGTAGGTAAAGGGCAAAGGTTTCTAATTGGTTCACCGCAAGAGTTTTATCATTATTAGATAAAATTTATCGAAAGAAAAATTTGTTAGAAAAAAAAAAAAAAAAAAAAAGAAAAAAAAAAGAAAAAAAATAAAGAAAAGGTATATTAATTTTTCCTAAATCATTTTTCTAATTATTATTCTACGTAAATTAACGAATTAACAATGTAATAGAAATAAATTAACATTGTAAAGTAATTCAAACGTAAAACTGTTGAATCTTAAGTTTATTAGAAAAAAAAAAGTGTATTAATTTTTTTGTTTTTTAATTTCTTTTTCTAATGCACATTAACGTTAAATGATCGATTCGAATTCGTTAGAAATAAAGGTATACAAGTATGATTTTTCTAATCGATTTAACGTAAGACTGTCGAGTCAAATTCATTAGAAAAAAATAATCGTGATTTTTCAAATCGATTTAACGTAAAATCGTCGAGTCAAATTCGTTAGAGGAAAAGATTTTTTTCCAATCGATTTAATCTAAAATCACCGAATCAAATTGTTTAGAAAAAAAGATCTCGATTTTTCTAATCAATTTAACGTATAATTATCGAAACGAACTTCTACACGTGAAAATAACGTGAACTCTTCTATAAAAAAAAAAAAAAAAAAAACCACATCAAATCGTTCCGATCAAATTTTCTCAGAACGAATATATCGAGACTTTTCTTAAATTAATAATGACGTACGATTATCATGTATAATGATAAAATTCATTAGAAACAAACGAGCGCAAATAAGCAATACAAAAGAAAAAACAAAATCTCGATATATTTAATTAAATTTAAATACGTTTGTTGCGTGTAACAAATGTGAACGGAACTTAATTGCTTATTATTTTATCATATATCATAAATACGTACGAATGAAAACAATGAAAAGGAAAAAATAATATATTGAAAGTAGAGGGAGTTTTGAAGTTGGTTATCGCTTGAAATTAGAAACATGTCTCCCCTTTATTCCGCGACAGTCGGAGTCAGATTGATTAATTTCCGATACGAATCGTTGTGTGGAATGTTTGTAAATACAGACAGGCAAAGAGCTTGACGTAGTACATATATATATGTATATATATATATATATACATATATACATATATATATATATGTATATATATATATATGTATATACATGTAGTGGTAAACAGATAGGCGTGTCTTTCTACTCGAACCTGAATAAACTCGATTGGAACGAGAAGTTCAATACTGATACACGTCGATTAGAAAATACGAATTGAAGGATGGACGATTCGCGTTTAGTTTCTTTTTATTCCTATTTTTGTTCCCGTTTTTCTTTCTATTTACTTTCGTTTCTCCTTTTGTTCCTACTTTCTTTCTTTCTTTCTTTCTTTCTTTCTTTCTTGCTTTCTTTCTCTCTTTTTCTTTTTCCTTTTTTTTCAAAGGGGAGAGTTTATTTTTTTCTTTTGTCGTATTCCACCCTCTCCCACGATCGATGTCACCGATAAATTCGCTAATTGCCATCGAACGTAGTAGAGGGGCTATTGTATCGAATATAAATTGTCGAGACGATTCAAGAGCACTTCGAAAGAACATTAAAGTTTGAGATTTATGTATGTACGTTTGCCGATATCTCGGCCGTTCGAATTTTACTGCCAGAAAGATGTTCGTCGAAAATCTTGTTGGACAATTCATGAACTTCATCTTGATAGGTACACACTGTATATATGTATATATATATATATATATATGTATGTATGTATGTATATACGTGGGTATGTATGTATGTATGTATATACGTGGGTATGTATGTATATATATATGGGTTTAGCTAATAAGTAATATCATGTTCAATATAAAAAAAAAATACTTGTGTCATTTATCTAGATAAAAATTATTAAAGAAATGTTAGATTGAATAAAAAAAAAAAAGAAAAAAGAGAATTATACTCTATGTAACGTTATTTATTTAGATATAAAATATTAAATATTTTCAATATAAAATATTAATGTTATCTATTTTAATAATAAATTATTATATTATTTCGACATTACTTATTGACAATTTACAATATTTATACATGTTATATATGTATGTATATATATATATATATATATGCACATCTTTTTTTCTCTTTTCTTTCCTTTGTCGTTTTGCCATTCGGTCGAAAGAAATGACATTTTAGAATGGATATCGGATAGATTCTTTGAGCAAAATCGTAAGAACGTTAGTTTCCGCATTACGTCGACCGTAAATTAGAACGGAATTAAGTGCACCAGACGTACGATATTCCCGTGAGATAACGCCAGAAAATTTCACGCTGCTACTTCCATCTTCGTAAGGATTTCCGTGCGTAAGATATCTTCCATAAATCATATTTTCGCGATCGGATATTAAAAATCTATATATATATATATATGTATGTATGTATGTATGTGTGCGTATATGTATTTTATAAATAACGTACGTGAATGATAGGAACAACGTTCTGTTTGTTCAATGTCAAAACAGAGAAAGAAAGAAAGAAAGAAAGTTTCATTTCGTTTCATTTCGTTACGTTACGTTACGTTACGTTACGTTACGTTACGTTACATTACGTTACGTTACGTTTGCTTTCATTTTATCCAAATTTATTAGATTATAAGAAGGAATTTTCTTTGTTCGAGTTATATAAGATCTGGAAGATTAATCGCGGTGTAGGAAACGTTCTTGCTTTTGTGCAATTTAGCGAAGAAAACGTAACCTATAAATCGTTAACTTGCCAGACGAAGTTATCGTTAGTAATTTTTCGTAAAGGCTCGCACATCTTCCTTATATATATATATATATATATATATATATATATATATATATATATATATATACATATACATATATATATATGTTTCTTTTTACTCTAAGGAATAAAACATCCCCTAACTTTCTTTCTCCTTCTTTCTAACTCTCTACCATTACCTTTTTTCTTCTCATATCCAACCTTCCATTTTCTTTCTACTACTCTCTTCTTATTTAAAGAAATATTTACTTATGGCTTCTCTTAAATAACCCTTGCTACCAATGACGCCAGCATCTGCGTAAGATCTTTCAAAACGCTTACTAAAGGAAAGAAGAAACGAGCTCGTTAAAAGAAAATATCTTTAATTAATTGGCCTTACGAGGAACGTTAATGGTAAGGGAAAAAAGAGAGAGAGAGAGAGAGAGAGAGAGAGAGAGAGAGAGAAATATCAAACGAAATGAAAATAAAATGAAATGAAAAAAGAAATAAATAAATCAATAAAAAATATATACATCCTTTTAATAATCATTTTATACATTCTATACTATCAGACTTATTACATATATCCGATTACAAGATTACACAGAAATACACGCACTTATTTTTTTACATTTCCTTTAGAATTTCTCAGTCCTCTTATTTCTCTATTAAATTCTCTTCATTCATGCCTACGCGCGCATACATGGATACAAGAAAAAAAGGAAAAAAGGAAAAAAAAAAAAAAAAAAAAAGAAAAAAGAAAGAGAGAGAGAGAGAGAGAGAGAGAGAGAGAGAAAGAGAGAGGGAAAAGTATCAAAGAGCTATCGAAAATCGAAGATCCGAAGGAGAACCTGTTAAATTCAAAAGGAATAATTATAGCGGACCCTTTAGACGTTGGAAATGGTGAATGAATCTCTCTATATAAAGACAGAACGTTCAGGGTTATGTACCTACCTATCTAAATACATATGTATCTAGCTACATACATACATATATATATATATATATATATATATATATATGTATATTGAAACATGAACATAAAATATCTACTGCAAAGGATTGCAAAAGAGTCCCCGTTAAAGAGTACGCCAGTGTATCGTTTGGTATTTCGAAACGTTAGAAGCCTCGAAATTAATCGTACAAAAATTCTCCATAGGACGGTCCCGTTACATGATTTTTGGATGTGTTGAGGAGATGGAGAAGGAGATTGAAGAAG